TGGTCTGCTCCACAGTCTGCCCTTGGCTTTGTTTTGCCTGATGATATGGAGCTTTTCTGTCTCTTTCCACAGATGTAGTCAATTTGATTCCTGTGTATTCCATCTGGTGAGGTCCTTGTTTAAAATTCTATCAAAAATGATTTCCAGCACCATTTTTAATTACTAAGGCCATATTTTCCAGCTACTGATCATTCTTCTTTGTTTTCAACCTTTGCATTCCAATCACCAGTAATTATCAGTACATCTTTATTTCATGTTTGATCAATTTCAAACTGTAGAAATTATTCATCAAGGGCTTTTAGCAGTTGGTGCATAAATTTGAATAATAGTGGTTTTACCTGGTTTTCTTTGTAAGTGTATGGATATTTTTCTATCACAAACAGCACTGTATTTCAAAATAGATCTTGAACTATGTTGTTGTTCTTAAGTAACACCAAGTCAGTTCTTAATCATAGTGACCCTGTACAGGGTTTCTGAGGTGGAGCTGGAGCTGGTGAGTTTGAACTGCTGACCTAGCATTTTGTGGTCTAATGTGGATCCTACAACACCACACCAGATCGACTGATCTCTCTCTCTACCTACCAACCTACCTACAGATCCATACACATATACATATATAAATACATGAATGAATAAATGTGTGTGTACATGAGGAGGTTTCAACAAAGCTCATGGAAACCTTTTGATACCCCCTTATACACATATAGAAACACACACACACACACATATCTCTATTGCAAATACTCAACTCTGCTTGTTGTTATTAAGTGGTGTCAAGTTGGTTCCGGCTCATAGCAACCCTGTATAAGGTTTCCAAGGAGCAGCTGGTGACCTTGTGTTCACAGTCCACACTCTGCTGTTGTAGCCCAAAAGGAATCATAGACATGAATGGATGTGGCTGTGTTCCAATAAAACTTTATTTTCAAAAACAGGTGCTGATGGTAGTTTCTAGAGTTCAGTGCTTAACATAGGTTGGTTACGCAATAACTACTTAGCTAATATGATGGTAAGGGTAAGAAACTGACCTTTCAGGAGAGGGTCATTTCTATAATTATGCCTTCTTAATATGTGACAGTGCTACAGGAGAGCTCTGGTAGCGTAGTGGTTACGAATCGGGCTGCGAACCTTAAGGTCAGCAGTTCGAAACTACCAGCCGCTCTGCGGGAGAAAGATGAGGCTTTCTACTCCCGTAAAGATTTACATCCTCAGAAACCCTGTACAGGGTCGCTATGGGTCGGACCCGACTCAATGGCACTTAACAACAACAACAACAATATAAGTAAATAGTCGAGCTTTATAACTATTTAAAGCTTATCACTGAAATGTGCAAGATCAATTCTGACATACAGTGTTGTCAGGGATACGATAATTTTTATATGCTTACGAGGAAACCCAGTTACTAAAGCTACTATTCAAATTTATGCATCAACCACTAATATCAAAGATAAAGAAACTGAAGGTTTCCTTCTATTTTTTTTTTTAACCAACTTCTGCAATCTGAAATTCATAAAACATGCAATCAAGATGCATCAATAATTACTGATGGTTGGAATGGAAGAGAAACAAAACAGAACCAATAGTGGAAAATACATATGACCATGGTGAGAGAAATAACAGTTTCCACATTAGCAAAATAGAGACTGCATGATAGAATTTTACAAGATCAATGATTTGCTTGCAAACATCTTTCTATCAATAACATAAACACATGGACCTCCCAGGATGGGAATAAGAAGTAACGAACTTGACTCCAGTTGTAGAAAAGAAACTATGGAGAAGCTCAATATTATCAGTACGAATGCCAGACCCTGAATGCAGAGCAGATCATCAATTTTCACTTTTCCAAGTTCAAGCTGAAGCTGAAAAAAATTTCAAATAAATCCACAAGAGACAAAGTGTAATCTTGCATATATACCACCTGAATTTAGAGACCATCTAAATTTTATAGATTTGATGCACTGAATACTAATGACTGACAACCAGATGAGTTGTGGGATGAAATCAATGACACCATATGTGAAGAAAACGAAAAGAACATTAAAAAGAAAAAAGCAGAAGGAAAAGACCAAAATGGAAGTCAGAAGACTCTGAAGCTTGCTCTCGAAAGAAGAGTAGCTAAAATGAAAGAAAAATATGAAGCAAAAGATCTAAGTAGAAGATTTCAAACAGTGTTTTGAGAAGATAAAGTATTATAATGAAATGTGCGTTCTCAAGCTGAAAGATCTGGAAAAAAAAAAAAAAATCAAGCCTCAAGTTGTAGTAGTTAAGAATACTATGGGCTAAATATTGAATGATGCCGGAAGCATCAAAAGAAGATAGAAAAATAGTCACTGTACCAAAAAGAATTGGTTGAGGTTCAATCATTTCAAGTGGTACAATATGTTTAAGGACCGATGATATTAAAAGAAGGAAGTCCAAGTTGCACTGAAGGCACTGGCCAAAAAACCAAGGAACTGAAATAATACTAATTAAAATGTTTAAACAAATGGATGGAAGTATTTCACTAGTCTATGCTAAGAAATTTAGAAAACAGATACCTGGACAACCAGATAGAAGAGATCCATATTTGTAGCCACTCCAAAGATAAGTGACTCAACAGAATGTGGAAACTGATTATCAAACAATATCATTAATACCATATGCAAGTAAAATTTTGCTGAAGATAATAGTTGCAGCAGTATGTCAAAGAAAACTGAGAGCAATTCTAGCTGGATTCAGAAGAGGATATGGAACAAGGAATATTACTGCTGGTGTCAGAAGGATCTTGGGTGAAAGCACAGAATACCTAAAAGATGTGTGACTGCACTGTATTGACTATGCAAAGGCATTTTGACTATATGGCTCACAATAAACTACGGATAAAATTGTGAAGAATGGGAATTCCACAACATTTACTGTGCTCACTCAGAACCTGTACAGACTAAATGGCAGTTGTTCAAACAGAACAAAGGGATACTGTATGGTTTAAAACCGGAAAAGGTGTGTGTCAGGATTATATCTTTTCATCATGCTTATATCTTTTCATCATGCATATCCAATCTATATGCTGAGCACATAATCCAAGAAACTGGACTATATGAAGAAGAATGGGACAATGGGATTGAAGGAAGACTCATTACCAACTTTTGATATGCAGATGATACAACCTTCTTGCTGAAAGTGAAGAGGACCTGAAGTATTTATTGATGAAGATCAGACTACAGTCTTCAGTATGAATTATATATCTTATCCCAAAACAAGAAATATCCTCACAACTGGACAAATAAAGCAACATTACAACAAATGGAGAAAGTACTGACGTTGTTAAGGATACCGTTTCACTGGAATCCATAATCAATGACTATGGAAGCAACAGTCAGGACATCAAATGACATAACAACAGGTAAATCTACTGCAAAAGACCTCTTTACAGTGTTAAAAAATACAGATAATTACTTTGAGGAGTAAGGTATGTCTAACCCAAGTAATGGTATTTTCAATTGGTTGATACGCATGTGAAAGCTGGACAATGAATAAGGAAGACTAAAAAGTCTTTGGAGTTCTGGTGTGGCTCTGTAGGATAAACGCTGGACTGCAAAGTCAGTTTGAACCACAAGGTTGGCAATTGAAACTCACCAGCCACTCCTTGAAAACCCTATACAGGGCTGCTATGAATCGGAACCTACTTGATGATATTTAGCAACAACAACAACAACAAAAGAAGAATCGGTGTTGGCAAAGAATATTGAAAGTACCCTGGACTGCCAGAACAAAAAGGATCTGTCTTGGAAGAAGTACAGACAGAATGCTCCTTAGAAGCCAGGATGGCGAAACGTAGTCTCATGTACTCTGGACACGTAATCAGGAGGGACCAGTCCCTCAAGACATACATCATGCTTAGCAAAGTAGAGATCAGCAAAAAAGAGCTAGACCCCCCCGCAAGAAGATGGGGTGACACAGTGGAAACAATTATGGGCTCCAACACAGTTGTGAGAATGGTGAAGGACAATTGTTTGGTTTGGTTGTAGACAGGGTTGCTATGAGTTGAAACTGGTTCAACGGCACCTAACAACAACAGAGTCGATCCAAAGTATATTGGATAAGTTCCTAAAATACACAAAATGCAAAATAAGTATTGCATTTCTTTTCATATCTTTTAATCAACTAAAACACAATCACTAAATACCACTGAATCTATTGTGAATAAAATGAAACGCTGATGGCACACAAACATACACTCATGAGTATGCAGATTTACCCAGTACTGATTCATCATTGGGTCACAGTTACTAAGTACTGATCTGGCACAAAAAGACTAATGAAAGTATCCGATACAAAAAGCTGGCAGTAAATGGTTTTACTTAAGACTATGAATTAAAATTACCTGGAGCCATTTTTTTTCCTCTTATTTTTTTTAGGTCCTAGGATTACACTGGATTGCTAACCACAGATTGGTGGCTCAAACTCACTTTGGAAACCAAATACAAAGTTGCTATGAGTCAAAATAGACTCAATGGCACTTAACAACCCCAAAACCTGGGAGTGCAGTGGCTCTGTAGGATAAACACTGGACTGCGAATTCAAAGGTTGGTGGTTTGAGACTACCAGCGACACTTCATAACAACAACGCTAAAATCTACTCAATCAAAATCTCACTTGTTCAGTATGAAAACTGAGAGCTTCCACGGTAATTCTGTGAACTCCTGGTTAGGAGCCACTGCTAAAACATATATTTAACAAAAGTTGAATTTCAGTCTCATTTCTGCCATGTCCTACTTGCATAACCCCGGGTAAACTGTTCTGTTTCAGTTTAGTCACCTGCAAAATGGGGATAATAATAATAATCAATTCAGCACTATTGGGAAAATTCAATATACAAAGAATATTTGGCACACAAATATGAACTATTACATATTTTTAAATTACTAAAAACATTATCATATTTACTTTAACTAAGAGGCCTGACTCAACCTACAAAGACTCTTTAAGTTGTTAGAAAGGTAATTTTATGTTATACTAACCAGCAGAAGAGATGTCCTTTCCCACAGTCCACAGCAGGTGCTCTCAGCAGTGGAAAGCTGAGCGTATCAGATCCAGATGTATTGGACCCTTGTTTTGTAAGGCGCACTGCTCTTTCACAGGCGGGAGTAGGACACCATTTAATGGCAGGATTATTTTCAACAAAGGCCTGTTCAAAAATCAATACAAAACATAAGACAAAATATTTAAACTATAAATTCTAATATTCATAGAGTGCACCTATGGTAATTAACATATAAGCAAAAAAGGAAATTCAAAACATTGTCAGTCTCAAGTAATACTTAAACAGTGTTTGACAGTATGAAAAACCTCAGTAAGAAGGGAGGAATGCAATTCTCTTAGTAACAATGTGTTTTTAAATTTGTTTTCTTTAGTCTAAAAACCAAATTGTTGTTGTTGCCGTCAAGTCGGTTCTGACTCATAGTGACCCTGTAGAGAGTTTCCAAGGAGCAGCTGATGGGTTTGAACCGCCAACCTTGTGGTTTGCAGTCCAGTGCTGATCCTATAGCAGCACACCAAGAGTCCAAAACACAGACATATGATAAATAAGAATCTTAGGTGATTATTAGATACATTAGAAAAGTAGATTTCAAAATTACATCCTAAAAATACATAAAAATCAATATTATGTTGCCTTCTATACTAAAGAAGCAGTAGAACTATTTTTAGTTTATAAAGTTCACATATTAGAGTTTAGACTAGGAGAATATAATCTGCAAAAGGCAGTTGAAATGTAACTTTTAAATTCCACAGAAATGTAAATAATTTACATGCACATTCTGAATAACTCTTGAATGAAAATAAAACGCAAAATAAACATTTTAAATTTATTGTGAGAAACAAAGAAAAAAACCCATAAACTTCAAAATTGATAATCTTTATGTGTAAATACTTATATTTATGAATATAATTTGAATATTATCTTAATTAGCTATAAATTCAATAGGCAAATCAGTCTTGTTCTGATGCACACTTTTACTAGTTAACTACGAATTAGTTACTAGTTTTATCTTTATTCTTCTATTGTTATATAAAATAATGCTTTAGCTTAAAACTTTAATGCCACCATTTAAAAAATAATTTTGAGAGACAAAAGTCATACCACTATTTTATATATTTTCAAAAATAAAATAAAAACTACATAAAATACATCATTGGTTTAATAAAATTACAACGAAGAAATCAGATAGATTGTCAATATACCTTAATATCAAACTGTAAGTATCGTTTATCCATCTCTTTAGAAACTACACTTTCTATTATATCCACAGGCACAAGTTGGAAGCAATCATATGCAGGGCAGAAAATGTTGTGAGCTTCACCCTCTTGAATTTTCAAATTCAAAAACCTATTAAAATTATCAATTGAATAAAAACAATACGAGTAAAATTTATTTGCACATTTTAAGAATTCTTTATATTGAATTTTATGTTAGAGTATAATACCAATAAATATAGAGTAACAATTGTCATATATATTCATTCATGTAATTCACAAACCTTGTTGAACACTTACTACCTGCTCAGTAATTCCTTTTTCATAGAAAGACAGAATATAAACATTCCTATTTTAATATATTCTTTCTAAATATGTAAAACAAGTATGTTCTTATTTAACACTAAAAATTCAGAAATGAGTAGCTTAGAAAGGCCACATTCAATTTTCACTAATCTACCGCTTTAAATAGAAAGGAGCAATGGTACAGAAATTAACCAAAGCCAATTCAAGAGATTCTGGGGTGGGAGTAGAATATAGCACACCTACTTAAATTCTTATATGAATTGAGTAGAATATTACAATGAGTTTTATGTTCTACCTAGGCACACTAACTGGAAAGTAGCAGAAATTTAGCCCAAGGTTCATTGAGAATTTTGAGTGGGAGAATTCCATGTCTGCCACCAATAAATACACTACATAATCTTAAGCAATTTATTCAACCTTTCTGAGCCTCAGTTTTGTGATGTGTGTAAGATGGAAATATGCATCTCACAGTAGTATTGTATCGATTACATGATATAACGTATGTGACATATCTGCATAGTGCCTGGCATCGAGAAAAAAAAAAAACAAGGATTATAATTGTTATTATTATTATTAAGGAACCCTAGTGGTGGTGTGCTTAGTTGCTGGTTCAAGGTTTGAACAAGGTGCTGGTAAAAACCCACCAGCCTCTGCACAGGAAAATGATAAAGCAGCTGCTCCCATAAAGATTTACAGTCTTGGTAATGCTATACAGGCAGGGTCACTATGAGCTGGAATCGACTAGATGGCAGTAGGTTTGGTGGTCTGTTTGCTTTTGTTTTCTTCAGTATGTAAGAGCAAGAACCAAACAAATTTATGAAGTGTGGATTACACTGAACTGAACACTTAAACCCTTGGAAAAGAAATGAAATAAGCAAGCAATAAAGTTGCAACACTCTAGTCATTACCACTAACAGTATGATTATACCACCAACTATAATATCTTTTTCTTTTAGTTCTCTTACTACCAAATTCTGTTGCTCTTAACAAAAATCAAAAATACCTCACTGAGACCTCATTAGACCTGCTCCCTTTCCTCCTCCTTACACACATTCATCTTGGCACTTCAAAGAAAAGAATCCCCATCAGACACAAAAGGAGTCCCTCTCTTGTTTTTTTTTTTTTTTTTTGAGAAAGTAGTAAGGAGTTTTATTGTCAAAA